CCATCAATCCATCCATCCATCCATCCATCAAAAATAAAATACAAAAAACACATTATGAATTTTCTTTTTATGTTGAGAACCTTCAATTCATAGAGTAATTCATAGAGATATGATAAAGATTTAAATATTATTATAATATATTTCGCTAAACGACACTCTTGTTTGATTCTGGTCTTTCAATACTGACTTAATTGTTCTTTTTCATCGATAACTAATTATATATCAAGAATTCAACTTAAAGAAATAATTACATAATAGTCAAAGTTATTTATTGTTATTATATAACATTGAACATTAAGTGAGAGCAGCTGCAGTGCGCGCCCACTGGTTTTGAGTCCTCACAGTTGTTGATCTGGCTATAATTACATTTCATCGCCGTCTTCTGCTGATGTTTACACTGACCAGTTAGTAATAATGCATACTTTTTTATTACTTTGAAAGACCTTAACAGACATATTTATTTTAGCTTGATTGAAATCATTTGATGTAAGTTATTGCGCAACTATCGGCTGAATTTTACTATGAATCTGATTGTTCTTTAATATGATCTTGGGCAAAGTAAAGTTATAGTATAAGTATCATGAAGCATAGCAAATAAGTTTACCAGTATATTTTCCCCCTAATTCTTTGCTGAAATAAAAAGATCAGTAATGTCCATCACATAATTTCAGGCCCTTTTTAATGACACCATAACATTAGCTACATTAGCCTATTTTAGTGTTAGCTAGCTAGCTAATGACCATACCTCCGAACAGAACATAAAACAAACAATTTAACTTAAAGAGATAATGTAAAAATCCTTACATCCCACAGGTCGGTTAGATTAGTTTACAGCAGAAAAACTCACTTTGTCAGTCCAAGAGACAAACAGGGAGTGGAAAAGTTCAATGTCTCCTCGGCTTTCCTTCGCTACGTAGCTTTGATATTTCCAAAGAGAACTACGGAAGATCGGCAGCTGTCAATCATCGTCAAATATGACGTAAAAAACTGTTTTACAGCCTCAAATAACTTACTTAAAAGATATGTCACATAAAAGAGATCACTTGAACTCAATGTAGTGTGATAATAACTAATGATCAAAGCAGAGTTTAGGTTTGGAAGAAAATTATGTGACGAGTATTTTAACTTTAAAGTTTGATCCACATCCCATCTATTATCATTGAGGAGGCGGGGCTTATGACTTATACTGCAGCCAGTCAGCAGGGGGAGCTCTAAAAAAGAAAGCTTCACTCCACTGGAGAGCTAGTCGCCCCTTGGGTTCCAACAAATACATGTTCAATAGGGGAAAAAAATATATTCAGTTCAGTTTATATAAAGAAACTGAACTGAAAAAAAAATATTTACCTTTAGGTGAAAAAAATAAATTAGTTTTTGCATCCTCACGTCAGTCTGTCAGTCTGTCCAAGAAGTCAAGTCCAGTCAGTTTGGAATCCAGTGCTGGTTTTGGCTGATGGATTGAGGGATGTGACCGTCTCCCTTGTTCAGAATCAGGTGAGAGGTGAAGAGTGATTGAGAAATAACCAGGGAGATTTACGGAGGTGCAGATGAGGATGATGGGAGTACGCTATTGTTGGTGATGGGTGAAAACGAGCCATGGAATTAATTGCCTTGCTGTTTTCTATCGCGGTATGAGCGTGCTGCTCCGACGTTGTCTGTTGTCTTCCCCTGTCCCGCTGCTCCCTTCTTGCTCCGGCTGAGTGAATGAAATACATGGGATAATTGAAACATGGGGCATCCTTAAAAGTATTCTTTTATAGTTTGTTTTTTTTGTGAAGTAATTTCCACAAAAATACAGAGATTAGCAAATATGCAAGTTTAGGCTACTATGTGAACACGTTTATTGACATATGAAGAATTAACAAAAAACATTTACTTTTTCGATTGTTTAATATTTGTGGATCTTGGTTCACATTTCTGGATTGTCTTCTGTGTGAACATAATTGCCTCCCCTCCCAATTCTCCCAGTCTTTTCCGTCCTACACAGTGCAGGCATTACTGCATCAATGGGTGCATTCTTGGTGCGCAACAGTGGCGTTCTGAATCTAAGAGTATCACCATCTCTCACTAGTAGAGTGCGCTCCTCCAGGAGGATGACTGCATCTTGGTTTTGACGTTACCGTGTTGACATTTTCTCACTTCTAAACGGCAGGACATCCAGTTGCAGTATACCAGTTGCGTTCAACGTGCTGATAAAATTCATCGGGAGGCAGTCTGCAGCAGGTGAAGTAGCAGCTGGTTGATGCTTCAACAGGCTTTAGTTTGTCGGGACCCTGCAGTGCCCAGCCAAGCTCAGTGCTAACTGCTGCTGGTCCTCCTCTAGGGCTTAGACGAACTGGTTCCTTAGCAAAAATCAAGTGTGTGTTGTCAGCTCCGATAAGGAGAAGTGGCTGCACTGTTGAATGATGGAATCGGGATGCCTCTGAGGTGGCGATAGTGCTTCTGCAAGACAGCCGTCGGATATGATTGTTCGGCCAATGCCAGGCGGTTAGCTGTGAACGCATCTGATTTAATGTGTTTCTTACCAGGTTGAGCTGTGGATGCGATATGGAAACAGACAGATGACCCTTTGAGGTGAACGACATCCTCCCTTATTGTCCGAAGGGTCTTAGATTCTCCTGTCAGCCCAAGATGGTACGTGGCCTCTGTGAGAAGGATGGTCCGTTCGGCGCAATCATCGAGAATAGCATGAGTATGCAATGATTCCTTCCCATTACTCACAATGACAGGAATGACCTTCAGATAGACACCAGAAACCCGTTTGGTGGGGGTCAGTGAAACTCCCTCCAGTGGGGTGATGAAAGAGACAGTGGCGGTGCAGGTTCGACCTGGGAGGTGTCACTACCATGGTAGACTGTCACTGGCTGCATCTTTAACTGTGGTGCAGCTGTGATCTTGTGCCTTCTTGGCAACAACGGCTTCTCTGTCTGGTTTCGTTGACACATTTTGGCTGATAGTCCTCGTCTCAGCTTTCACCTTGAGCCACTCTGAAAGGTCTCTGAGATTGTATGGCTGTGTGTGCAGCCGACCATGTGCCTGCAGATGCTCTATGAAGCTGTCCCTCATTGGTCTTGGAAGCTTACTTATAAGTCTATCCACGTGATCCGTTGTGACCCGTTAGGACCCTCCAGAGAAGTGAGCATCCCTACCAAGAGGTCAACACGTAGGGTAAAACCTTGGAAACCCTGCTTTGACATCTGTGGAATTCAAAATGGCAGCTACTTCACCTTGGGCTAACTGATGAGACTGTCCATACTGCCGGTGTAACGCCTACATGGCAGCTGTGGCGGCAGAACTGCGCAATGAGACAGGCTTCCTCCAGGACCAGCTGCTCCATAAGTACTCAGTACTTATAATGCCATTTTCAAATGTGTGAACTCCCTTTCACTGTCGTTGATTAGTTTTGGAAGTGCAGGGACCGGAACAGGCTGAATGGGCAGGAAAGGCCAAGTTGGAGTAGAGGCTCCTACCACTGGTGGTGGCTGTACTAACACTGGAGTTGCAGTGGCAGATTAAGGCGCATGATAAAATGGTATCATACCTGAAGGTAGCTGCAAAGTTTGCCCAGGTGTGAGTGTCTGGTGTGTTTATCTTATTGCAGAGCTTTTCCCAGTGAAGAGAGAGTAAAATCAGCAGGATGAGCTTTGTGCAACGGCTGCACACAATATCTTTTTGTTGTGTAAACTTGTGTTCTTTCAGCCGCTTTGTGAGCTGAAACATCTCAGCCTATGTCGCTGCCCCAGGCAGCCAGCCAACGATAAACTAGATGGGGCGGTACCGGGTGGGACTCAATGCACAGGTAACAAAGGAAACAGATGCTGTCAGATGATGATCATAGAAAGTGAATTTGTAGTGTTACGAGCTAGCACCAGCTACACGTATACATACAACAAAACTAGCCCTAACCTGAAGTGTGACAGAGAAGTCAAGAGATGACAGGTACGGAAAAGACTGATTCTCACACAGGGAAAACATAAGGTTAGGTCAGCTCACCTATACGTGGGTCTGCCAGGGCTCCGGCGGCCTGATCACACCGGACGGCTTTAAGAGCGACGAGCCCAAGCTTCGTCTATGAGTTCAGTTTTGTTTGTTGTAGTTGGAGCACATAAGATACGGCTGGTTTCTAAAACAAGTTCATGGGAGTGGGTCATTTGTTAGGTCCGACAGCTTCCAATTTGGCGTCCATACGGGTCCTCCGTCAGCTGCCACTTCACCTGTTGTATTACGTCATTTAAAGCGACAGCGCACCGCTCTGAGCACACCTCAGGAATGGTGCTTTCAAGACTATCGGACAATCCAGTAAACACAGCTTAAACCCATTCTCTATTCTCCCCATGAAAACCAGTCCAAAGTAATTAACAAAACAGACAGATAAGGATGAAGAAGAAGAACCTTACTGATTCCTAACAGTAGGAACAGATGATCTGGATGTTGCAGCTGAGTGTTTGAATAGATGATAAAAAAATCAAAGACTAGCTGACTATTATTTTTTATAAATATATTACTCTGAATCACACTTTAAATCGGCCTGGTTTGTCCTATAGCAATTTTAGGCCAGTAGGGGAATTTCGAGCGGGGACAATCATGCTGCGGCACGGTATACTGGGCCTAGTGTGAGATAGAGTTGGTAGTCCTCTAATCTAAATATCTGTGGTTTGAGCCCAGGCTTCTGAAGTCCTTGGGCTGTCCCTAAATCTAAAGAAATAAAATAGATCCTGATTGTGCAGGTTGGAACCTTATTCTTAATAAATGTGTATGAAAGGTTGAATGGAAGAAATTAAAAGTGCTTTGTGTGAATTGGAGGACCATAAACGCACTACACAAATGAAGTATTTTTATATTTTCTTGTGTTTGTACTCTCTGTTGATTAGTGATATTTCAATTCATGCATCTTATCTGTTGTAGTGTTAAGAATATTTCTCAGGAACACAACTTTTGTATTTGATTAATGTTTTTACTATTTGTATAATCTAACTCAATCTCTCTCTATTTTGTGTTGAAAGCCATGCCACAGGCTATGACAGTGACCCCAGCTCCCCCATGGTGTACAGCTGCAGCACACAGTACCGCATACACACACATGGAGTCTTCAGAGGCATACAGGTATGTTTGAAAGAATAAAGAAACTCTCATGCTTAATACTTTAAAAGTATAATTTTAAAGCTGCATAATATGAGTTAACAGATTTGGTAGGAAAGATGTATTTTCATTACAGGTATTAAACATTAAACTGTTGAATGTCAAAGGTAATACTAGCCCTATCCAGACTGCTATTTCCAGGCGCAACAATGATGTCACTGTGAGGATTATCCTGAAATCTGAGGGCACACTCAAACAAGGCACGCTTGACCACCAAAGTCCAGTCAATTAATCTGTTTTGTTGATGTCTACATAAACTAACTAGCAGCACCTGCCATTGACCGCAGAACCAGTGGTGTAAGTAGGGTCCTGGCCAGACCTACTTTTGGTTTTCTAAAATCTATTGGCTTATTTGGTCATGTGACGTTAACATTTTTTTCACCCCAATGCTACTGCCCTCTACCGTCAAACAGACATATGCTAATCAGTCAAACAGCCATTTCTCTCTTTAACTAATTATGCTCCAGAAAAGCTGAAGTGTTTGCCGACTCTTCAGCTAGCCAGCGTGCTGCTGCCTGCGTTCCTCCAGCGGGTCTCTCCAGAGCCTGCCAGCGACACTGACTCTCCTGTCAGCGCTCAAAGTTATGTTAGCTCCTGCTCCTCTGCAATGCCTCCAGTCAACACTGGCTGCTCTGCCTGCTCTGTCACTGCTCTAGCTACCCAGACTATATGCTACAGAAAATGCTAGCACACCACCCACGTCCTTTGCTGGCCAAGCTAACTACAAAATTCCAACTGAACACTCCTCTATTTCACCAGCTACCGACCCTGCTCCCTCTAGTGTGGCAGAAATCCACTGCTCCAGTGAGTGCTGTATTTACTCTGGTAGTAAGCGCACAAGCGCAAAGTCGCCTTTGGACTATTAAAGGACTCGGTTCAGGATTAGACAAAACTAACAAACATGCTTTTTCTGTGTGGATTTCAAAACTGGAAAAATGCTATGTGCTCTTTTCGGAAACACAAAAGCAGTAAATATCACAGAGACTGGTGTAAAACACTGGTTAAAACTGGATCTGAGCTGTTTTTAGGCAGTATTTTTCTCACATTGATGTTACAATAAAATCTAATGTAGTTAAATGTAGTTGCTGCAAGCTTTAAACGGGATAGGCTAATCCTGCGGCCATTTATGTCAATTGCTTTCCTTTTTGTCTAAATTTATGTTTGTTAGACATTGGCAAAAAATGCAAAGTCATCAGAGACTCGTTGGACTTTGTACAAGGGGTGGTACCCAAAGATCACAAGTTCCAAAACTTGAAAAATGTAATGGAACCAGGCAATAATAACCTTTGCATGCAGTGCAATATGTCCTTAAAGCCCCTTTAAACCTGATTTTATACCAGAGGTAGGACAAAGTCATTGTTATGCCGCAACCAAAACAAAACATAAAAACAAGGGAAATTAACTAAGAGCTAGTTAATAAACAAGAGGCGAGTGGAAGCCAGACAGCTGTGCTTACCGTTTCGTCAGCTTCCTTGAGCCGCCAGCCCGTTCTCTTCTCCTTTGAGTTCAGATTTTTGTATGATTTCGGAGTTTTGTGAAGAGCGAGAGGAGTGTGTGTCGCACTGGTTGTAGACTGTATCTTAGTGTTTTGCACAGGTGTGTCCAATGCCCAATCGGCTGCCTCTCATCAAGAGTTGGGAGGAAATTAAGTTGTCTTCCTCTTCAGGAGCCATCAGCACTGGGATTTTTAGTTTCCACCCAAACAACAAAACTTGATAACACACCTCCTGTCTACAACCAGCTCTTTTTATAAACGGCAGAAATAAAGAAATGAAAACCCAAAGAACGGTCCGTCACATCACTGTTTTGCAAGTCACAAGTAAGTCTCAAGTCTTCGGTCTCATGTCCCCAAATCAAGTCCCAAGTAAAGAAAGGCAAGTCCCAAGTCGAGTCAAAAGTCCTAACATTAGTTATTGTGGTACTTCACCCATTTGCATTAAGCTTTATTAATTATTAGAAACCTGGTAGTATTTTTGAACGGTTATGCATCCCGCCCTAATTTTCCCCTGAGACGGAAATCTTTGTATTTTTAAATGGTATTATATAATGCTTTTCTAGTCTTCTGACTACTCAAGCATGTCACACCTATACATTCACACACTGATGGTAGAGATCATTATGTAGTATCATCCATCAGAAGTAACTAATCCCATTCATACACCACCACCAAAGCAGAGGGAGTAATTCGGGGTTAAGTGTCTTGCCCAAGGACACGTCGGACATTAACCCAACCCTCGACCTTCTGGTTGAGAGGCGACGACTCTACAAACTGAGCCACAGCTGCCCCTTGGCTTTTTTTTGGCTATTTTTAAGAATGAAAAGGAGCCTCCGATGACGCAAAAATCGTTATTGTGCGTCATCGTCGGTTGTTGTGGTTAGCGGGGTGAAACTACAACACTAGTTCCTCATATTTTCGACCACTGAAGCTACAGACCAATCACAGATCAGTGGGTGGGAACTCACTCCCTGAAACGAAACTTAACGTCCACCATATTGCTTGGAAGCTATGCTAACAGGCTCTATGGAGACAATGACGAAAAAAATTATGTTTTAAGTATGTTTCAGGTCATTAGCTCTTTTCACCAGATGAAATGCCATTTTTACAAAGTACTTATATGTTACATTTACACAAAACATGATTGCTATTTGAGTGGTTTTTTTTCACCCTACTTCTTAAAATAAAATAAAAACACTACTGTGACTGATTCTGTTTTATTCATTTTCTCGATTCAGTTTTTTCCATTGACATTTTTCTGAATTCTGTGTTTAACGATGTGTTCAGTTGGATCAGATTGATCAATTTCTGCTTGCCTTTATTTTTTTTAAGGTAATAGTGTTTCCCCTACCATTATATTAGGGGGCGGCCCGCCCCCCAACGGCCCACCCCGCCCCCCTTGAAGGTTTTTTTTTTTTTAACCTACAGCAGATTAGGTTCAGTTGAGTTCAGTTTATGTTACTGATGGATAATTACTACACAAAGTTTGTTTTTTGATGTCGACATTTACGTGGAGTATAACATTCATCATAATGTCAGATAACTATATTTACAGTCTGCGGTTAAGGGTTCTGGAAGCTAGAGATTTCTGCTGCATCCTGTAAATATGAATTAATAGAAAATGTTGCCCTGTCCTCAGATTGTAGCTAACTTTAGCTATAGTAAGCCAGGGCTGAATGAGGGAAGGCTCTAAATCTTTAGCTGATCCTCAAGTATTTGTACGCTATAATATCTCCTCTTTACACATTGTAATGAGTTGATGCTCTGCTGATTAGACTACTTTAGAAACTCTTAGCTCCTTGTGGCCTCCATGTCTGTGCACACCCACTCATGACTTTTGGATTATACCAACTGTAGAGAGAGGCCTTTTTGAGGTGTGATGTATGGCATGAGTAGGATAAATTTGACTTATATATTCATGATTTTTACTACACATTTTTCAAAGTGATAGTTTAAAAAAATTATTTAAAAATAATGAAGTATTTGTTTAGGGAAGCATGATGGAAACAGTTGAGGAGGACAACATAAGGGAAGCCTGGAAAAAGTGCTGGAATGTAATATTGTGTTGACAACTTGAAAAAAATGAACATTTGGTATGTTGAATGAAACAAAAGCAAGGGTTTAACTAAGATCAACTATGTAGAAGGCCTAATGTGATTTTTATTGATTAAATATTCTGTTATTTCTTTTAATTCCTCACCTAGCATATGCAGCAGACTGTTGTGAGGGCCCTCGCAAGAAGATCTGTCTTTGTCTTTTGCATAGTTGCCTTTCAATACTTTAAGTAATAATAATTAATAATTGATGTCAAAGAAAAGTGGTTTTGCTTCATATGAAAGATTTGTATGTGTGCTTGTACAGGATATGCAGCGGGGGCCCAGCCTACCTCAAGCCATAGTTCGGTCAGAGAGCAACGAGAAGCGTCCCTTTATGTGTGCCTACCCAGGATGCAACAAGCGCTACTTCAAGCTTTCCCATTTACAGATGCACAGTCGCAAGCACACAGGTGAAACCAAGAAAAATAAAGAGATTTACTTGATGTGACTCAGTACTTCTATCAATATTATGGTGATAAACATTACACAATTTTACATTTCATTAACTTAGCAGTTTTGATTTCAATATAATTTGAAAGCAGAATATTGAAGGTGGAGTCGGTAGTATTGTTTGTTGCAGCTTTTAAACACACCATTCAAACTGGGCCCCTCCTCTTGGGCTCATCGCCTCAAGAAGCGCACACTCACTGCAGGATGTTCACTGCAAGCTGCTGCAAAATTAGGAAAAATGTTGGAGAGATGCTATTAAAATAGGATAGAGGTTAGAACACAGTAAGGTTTCAAGACAGATGCAGTGCTGGCTAAACACTGAAGCTTCCGTGTCTGCAGCAGGGCAACCCGCTTGCGCATCGAATAGGGAAGAGGGGGCAGTGGGATAATGGATCTCTCCAATGTTTTGACACACTTACACATACTTTGTACAACATACTGAATATTCACCTCTTTTAGTTTATTGTGGTTTTATCAATATTTGTTTCACGGGTCCTGACTTTTGAATCTTTCTTCTCCTGCAAACTGATTGTATGACAGTGGTCATACATACACATAACTTACTCATAAGACCACACATTAGTTGACACTGATTTGGAAATGGGGCTCTGTTTATCCCACTTTCTTGGGGATATCAGAAAGAGTCAAGGCAATGACTTTTATGTCATACAAGTTAAAAAATGTCATAATTCTGTCTGATCTGGCTATTTAAGTTTTGATCATGAAACTTTTTTTTAAACGTTTAATAAAAACAAAAAGTAAGCCTGTTTCCAAGTATGGAAATACTGTGATATCTTCAATGATTAAAAAGGTTCCTAAAGAGTATCAAACTCATTTCCAATGACCTTTCTATTTCTAAATTTGTCTTTGATCAGGGGAGAAACCCTACCAGTGTGAATTTACAGACTGTGGCAGGAGGTTTTCTCGCTCTGACCAGCTCAAAAGACACCAGAGGAGGCACACAGGTTGGACACAAGCATTTTGATGACAATGTTGTCTTTTGAAAATAAGTGTTTTTTTGTGTGCAGTTTGGCATGTGAAATCTTAGTTGCTTATGAATGGTCATACTTCTGTGTGGCTTTTCTGCAAGTCTCTGTTCAACTGTATTATAGCTTTGTGTTTGTGTGCATGTGTGTGCGATCTTTAACATTTGAATTTTGTGTGTGCATGATTACTGTATATTTGTTTAGGAGTTAAACCTTTCCAATGCGAGACGTGTCAGAGAAAATTCTCACGATCTGACCACCTTAAGACACACAACCGGACTCATACAGGTAAAACAAGTGCGTACAATTTTTCCCATTTCTCTTCATCCATTGGATGTTCATATGAAAGATGTATGGTGTATTGATAGTTATTTTACAACCTATCGTTACAAATCAACTCATTAATACTTGATTCATATTTTATATAATAATTTTATTCTAATATTTCTCATGTGCCCTGTCTTTTCACTTGATTTAATTTTTTTTTCCATCTGACCTGCCCCTATACAAAATTCCATCTTTCATACTTTTTCTACCTCCCATTCTTTCAAATTCTTCTTCAATTTATCTTGACTGTCTTCCATCATGTCAATTCATTCCACCTCTTTTTAGGTGAGAAGCCTTTTAACTGCCGTTGGCCTAACTGTCAGAAGAAGTTTGCCCGCAGCGATGAGTTGGTGAGACACCACAACATGCACCAGAGGAACCTCACCAGACTCCAGCTGGCCATCTGAGTTTTTTTTTAACCTGTATCACAGTTTTAACATTTAGAAATGTGGGTTATGCCTGCTAATATCCTCTGTCAAGTCAATCCAAACCTGGATTCTTTGCATGAAAGAAACCTCTCAATGGGCCAGTGGAAACCTAATTGGCCCCTAAAAAGTTATGTTTATATTCTAAAGCCAAATGAAAAACTGAACATTAAAAAGAATTGTGAAATGTTAGGTGTTAAATATAGTATTGTAGTATAGAAGCTGAGAATTTAAGGTTCTGGAATGTAATGGATAATGCTGGCAATATTTAGTATTTTTGATTTTGCCAACTTATCCAAAAAACCAACAAGAAATCAGCTCCCTACTTTAGTCAAATAGGACAGCTTTTTTGCTCCAGATGGGAGGCAACTTGAAGGCTCCAGCAAATATTAAAGGATCAACCAAATAAATAGTCGACACTGGCTTTTGCTGCAGTGCACAACAATATTATCATTGTTTGGCTTATCATATCTAATAGGTTCTAATACATGTTATCACTAAACCAACACACACTTTATAAATGTAAAGTTTTTATGGTAAATTATTTCCCCAAGACATATTGCCTCTTTACTTTTTCACTAAACTAAAAGAAATACTCCAAATGTTTGGAAAATTTTCAGGTCAAACCACAACCATTTGTACAGTTAAAAGGTTCTTGTCACTTACATAAGGGCCCTACATCATGTTGAACTAAGACTAGACGTATGTTGAAACCAAAAGCTTTTTGTCTTGTGGTTTTATTTGTTATGATTAGGATGACAAAACGACTTGACTGGAATGATTCAAAGGAAGGGACGTGTCTTTATTTTGTGTGATTTTCTCTTCTTATAGTTTCACCATTTATTCCATTAAAGCTGGTTTTGGGTTTAAGCAAATGAGCAAATTACAGAAACAATCTGCACCTAACCTTTGAATTGCCCACCGAGAACAAATACTTTTTTTTTATTGAACAACATAATTTGCAATGTTTGTAATGTCAGTTTTGGTGTTTTGTCATAGCCTAAAATATACATTTTAAATTATCTTGCCTTTGTGAGTATAATAAGAAGCTGAACGTTTTTGTTTTTGAATAATGTGAAGATTTTTTTTTATTGTTAAGTGCTCTGAGGACTTTGTTGTGTTGACAGAAACCTTTGGTAGAGTATGCAAGCTCTTAAAGGGAAACTTGTAGGTTGGAGACCTCAATCAGTGTACAGGAAAATGGTTTAGAAAATATATTGTCAACAAAATATATGAATTAGCACTCTACATTGAATTCTGGAATCATTTTGTGTGTTTATTTTAAATTTGGTGTTGCAGGCAACAGGATGTAACGTAACACCTTAGCATTAATAAACAAGTCAGTTTTGTCAATGAAGAGAGTTTTTTATTCTTATGCATACAACGGACCACTGGCTTCTAATTATGATCCTGTTAGGTATCAAAGAGACCAGGAACAGGTCAGGATTAGCAAAAATGATGACCACCGGAGAGAAATTCAGTTGTGGTGTGAAGGATAACCAGGGGAGGAATGGGCAGGTATTCAAATCTGTCTTCTTTTAACAAAGTTCGTTATAACATCAAATGTCATTACTTTTATAACATCATGAGGAGTGGAAGACAAAAAAAACTAATACAAAGATCTGTCTTTATCACAGATACATGTTAAACATCCAAATTCTAAGGTGCTGGTTTAGTTAAAATTATGTCCGAAAACTTTACTGATCGCTTACTGAAACAAGTGTGAAACCTGAAATTTCAGATCAATGAAATATACAATAAAAAAGTAGAGTAGGCACTGTTTCGACTTAAGAGTCATTATTATGAGAGTGGAGAAAAATCCGGGAAACTCCTTGCAAGACAGTTGCATCACAAGCTGATTAGTAATAATATGCCAGCGGTTAAAAATGAGGAAGGGGAGTTGACAACACTTAAAGGAAATTAAAGAGGTATTTGCAGATTTTCATAACCAACTTTATAAATCAGAAGTGAACCCGAAATCACCTGGGCTAGGTGGTTTCTCCTCAGAATACCATAAAATGTTTGCAGACAATTTGGCTTCAATCTTATCCAAGTCTATGAATCATTCTCACACTGAACAAATTACCAGAAACATTTAATGAAGCCCTGATTTCCCTATTGCTAAAAAATATACAGATCCCTCAGACCCAGGAAATTACAGACCAGTCAGTTTGATTCATTTTGATTGTAAAATTCTTACAAAGGTTCTTGCTATGAGGTTAGAAACTATCCTGCAACACTTAATACACCCAGACCAAGTGTGATTTATAAAAGGAAGGTTTTCTTCAGATAATGTCAGACACTTATTACATCTTATACAACTTAGTCGCAATAAAGACACCCCCGATAGCTACCTTTTCTTTGGACACTCAAAAGGCAATTGAAAGTAGCTCATGAACTCCCGAAAAGTAAAAAGAAAGAAAGAAATTAACTTGTGCACCCAAGATAATTGTACATATTGATATGAGTGTCTTTAAATAAGTTTTGCCTAAGCACTTCAGTCAAATACTTTTCAAAGAACCTGTTTTCAACAAGTTATAGAATTGTCTTAGAATTAACTTACTTTATTAACATGTACACATACAAACGTGAACAGTTTTTCTAAGTACCCTAAATATGTAACCCTTGAGTAAAGGGTTAAGAATTCAGTGTTTATATTAATGTCAGGTAATGTTTAAAAATAATATTCAAAACAGTACATTTTGTTAACCTGCAGTGTGTTAAAGCAGTAACTTCTTTTTCTAATATTCTAAGGTATGTTATAACATTTCAATTATCTCCATGAGGCTGAACTGAACGATTTGCCAAGGCAAATTCATTCCAAATAAACTTTTGGGATAATTATTATTATCTATATTTATATAGATATAGATAGATATTAACTTATATACTTAACAATAAGGGTGCATAACCATTAGTTGATACATTAAGCATTAACTAATGGTTACTAACAGTTAACTAATGTGTCTAGTAATCAAGATATTAATTAATACATTATTTCATTGTTTTTAAGGATGCTATTAACATTTGTTTATACAGTAATAAGCCTTAGTTAACAGTAAATTCATACAATAATGAACATTAAGAAACCTTTAACAGATGGCTCTTGTTAACATTAATTAAGGGTTCACATGTTAATTAAGCCTATTAACTAATATTACTAAATGAACGCTTGATAAAGATGTTCATGTAGATGCATGTCTTGAGGTTCACAGCTAAGTCATGTCATTAAGACAAAAGTGTTTGTTTTTATTCATGTTTATTTAAGGTAAATGACTGTTCACTTACTTGTCCATCCTCCAACTGGTGACTTATTGTTGGTAAAGGTTGAGATCAGTGGACCACACCATGGTCTTCATGTAGACGTTAGATTGTTCTTTTATCTTCATGTAGACATTCTTAACTTACAGCCTGACCTATCATTATTGTTGATGTTATGCATTACTAAACCATGATTAACCATTTGTTAATGCTCTGAATAAGCCTTACTTAACCATAACTAACCATAAGCCTTACTTAACCATGATTAACCATTTATTAATGCTCTGAATAAGCCTTACTAAACCATGATTAACCATTTATTAATGCTCTGAATAAGCCTTACTTAACCATGATTAACCATTTATTAATGCTCGGAATAAGCATTACTTAACCATGATTAACCATTTATTAAGGCTTTGAATAAACATTACTTAACTATTATTAACCATTTATTAATTCTCTGAATAAGCATTACTTAACCATAATTAACCATTTATTAATACTCCGAATAAGCATTACCTAACCATCTTTAGAATACTCGCAATGTCACTGTAGCGAACCCTGATCTTGGCTATGAACCCAGGGTTGAAGCCAAACCCGGCTAAAGTCTGACAGGTACTGGTGTTCAACCCGGTCAAAAGCCTTTTCCTGGTCTATGGAAATAAGACCAGTTTCTATGCCCAATTCACTGGAAACCGCCAGAGCATCTCGAATTAAAGTGATATTATCACTTATGAGCCGGCCAGGCACACAGTAGGTCTGGTCAGGGTGGATGATGGACGCCATCACCTCTCTCAGTCTGAGGGCCAGAGTTTTGGACAGGATCTTATAATCTGTGCACAGCAGAGACACCGGTCTCCAGTTCTTAATTTCCTGCAGGTCTCCCTTCTTAGTCAGCAGGGTGATGACAGCCCTCCTGCAGCTCAGAGGGAGTCTTCCCTTCTGAAGACTGTTTTTAACGACCTGTAGCAGGTCTGGTCCTATGATGGACCAAAACGATTTAAAGAAGTCTACAGGAAGGCCGTCCATCCCCGGAGCTCTGCCGTTCTGCAAACTCATCATTGCTGTGTACAGTTCTTCCAGAGTTAACTCTGCCTCCAGCTCCGAGTTTGCCTCTGTACTGACCTGAGGGAGACCTGCTAGGAAGCTGCTGTGCACATTTGGATTATCTGTCCATTCACTCCTAAAGAGGTCTCTATAGAAACCAGCAGCAAATTTCCTAATCTCAAACGAGTCTGAGATATCGAAGGAGGACATCACTTTTTTTTTTAAAGATTTATTTTTGGGCTTTTTGAGTCTTTTTTAATGGAGAGCTAGGACAGTGGATAGAGTCGGAAATCAGGGAGAGAGAGTGGGGAATGACATGCGGGAAGGAAGCCACAGGTGGGATGTGAACTCACCTGTGGGGTGCGCGCACTAACCACTGCGCCACCATCGCCCGAGGAGGACATCACTGTCCCCCTCCTGGCTGCTTTTAACTCCTCTCAGGTTTTTACATTTAGAGATGGAATTGCTAGAGCTTTTGTTTTTTCTTTTATGTGGTATTTTCAAATCATCATCGCTCAACATATCTTCATCTAAAATCTCACACACAGACTCATCTGCTTTCATCGTTTCCACACAATTTTCACTCTCGTTTTTATCATTTGCTGCTTCTGCAGTTTCACTCTCAATCACTGTCTGGGCACTACACTCTGTCACCTCATCTGAGGAAGAGACTT